CCCTCAAGGATCTCTACATCCAGATTCCTCCTCCCCCTAAGCGGGTTAGAATTTCCTCCTACGCCGTGGTCTCCGGTAGTCTCTCTTGCTTCCGACGTCGTCGGATTAGTCTTCATCTCCAGTAATTTCTTCATCATTTCTTCCATGGCCGTAAATTTTCCCTCCAACCTTTCATTGTTGGCGGTGATTTGATTTTGAAAATAAAAAAATCTTTCCTCCAAATCGGTTTTCAATTGACCGACTTCGCCTTCCAAGACGTCCACCTTCTTTCCGGCCATCGTTCTCCTAACGGATCCCCAAAAAATCTTCTTCCGGAGATGATAAACTTGCTGAAATTTCAGCCGCCGGTGGTCCCAAATCGATGCTCTGATACCAATTTGATAGGAAATACTTGAGTTCGCAAGTAACCCTAAGGTAATACTTAAGTTCGCAAGCAATCCTAATCCAAACCAGTGAAAATTTAACAGCGAAACTGCTGTCCACAGCAGTTTAACAGCAGGAAACACAGAAAATCTGAGAGAAAACGCAGTAAAACTCGTAGGGAAACGAAGCAAACACTTTTATTTCAATAGAAGATGAAAAGCACTTGCAAGATACAACTTTCCTTCAATTCGAGAGGAAGGAAAAACTCTCCAACGATCTCCGGCAAAGCCAAGAGCCCAAGAACACCCAACCCTAGATCTCAAAATAATTCAAATTCAAGATGATCCCTAATTCTCTCATAACTCCCTAATTAAAGCAAAAGGAAATATACAAATTACATAAACACCCTCATTCAAAAATTCCCTCCAACGAAACGCTCAAACTCCGCCTAGCCCGCTCTCTTCTTCCGCCGTTTCTGCGATCAGGTTCCGCCCGGCTTTGGACCGCCGGGTGTAGAACCGGACCGGTCCAGCTGGGACCGATCCAAGCGTAACACTTTGCCTTCTTAATAAGGAAATAGAAGCAATCACTGAATACATGCAGTACGTCAAAATTATTGTCGATGAACTGCCTATTGTTGGCCATCCAATTGACGAAGATGATCTCACACAAAAAATTCTAAGGGGTCTTGATGATGAACATAAAAATCTTTGCTATATATGCGTGCGCATGAGACCCCAATCTCCTTTGAAGAGTTACATGAAAACTCATAAACTTTGAATCTCATCTCCCAATTGGAGCACGAAAGAAAATGACTTTCTTAAACATGCCTGCCACAACCTACCATGCTAAAAAATCTAACCACTCAACCAAAAACCTACCCAACCAAAAAAATTGTCCTCCATCCCAAAAACACACCCAAATCTTCACCAGACCAACAAAGTTCAAACCCACCATCATCGTCACTATCTTGGCAAATGCCATTTTTTTCAACAACAAGATCATTCAGCACAACAATGTATCCACTTTACCTATACAACAACTTCCTTAAAATCCAAATCAAATACATCCTCCCCCATCATGATCATGTCGCATATCCTCTAGCATCCTCTAAAACGAAATGGCTCTAATGCTTCTCACCATATCACGAATGATCTCCAAAATCTATCAATGCACTCGGAGAATCCTATTACAGAAAAAAATTATATTGGTGATTGTAAAAGACTTCATATCACTCACACTAGCTAACAACTATATTTTCTTCTTTTCCAAATCATTCCTCTTAAATAATGTTCTTTGTGTTCCCTCTATGAAAAAGAACTTTATTTTTTTTACACAATGTTGCTCAAAAAATAATATCTCTATTGAATTCTCACCACATTATTTTCATGTGAAGGCATTCATTCGGGAAACATACTAGTGCAAGGTGAAACTAAAGACTGTGTTTATGAGTAGCCTCGTTCATCATCCAACAAACAATCAGTGATTGCCTTCTCTGCCACTAAAACCTCCATTCATCAATGGCATCTTCATCATTCGTTCATCAAAATCCTAAGTTACTTAACCTCTTGTTATAAACTATCATTATGTAACTCAAATGTATCATAACTTGTGTGAAATTCATGCTGTTGTAATAAAGCTTACAAGTTATCATTTCATTCATCCTTGTTGACCTCAATAACATATAAAAAAAATGAAAATGAAATAAATGGATACATGAATCCATAAATCTTGCTCAAATCCCGGCTAAAATCCACAAAAATCCGGCTCAAAACCCGCTGAAAAAACACTATTCACTCGGCCCCGTTCGAGTTGTTTCCCAGGATTCGCTCATTTGGCAGAAGCTTTCACTCTTCAGCGTCTTTAAAAGACGACCAAACGAAGCCAAAGGGGCTGCTATCCGATTCCTCTCTCTCGCAAACTGCGACCACCTCAGCTCTCCCGTCGTTCTTCCTCCAAATCTCCTCCTCCCACTGGCTTCTTCATCCAACGCCTTCATCTCCACCAAACCCACGAGCCTCCAGCTCTCCGACCTCCCCATATCCAAACCGAAATCCCTAACACCAAATCTTCTCCTCCCGCAAATCCCCATCTCGTCGCCCTTTGAAGCCGTGACCCTTACCCGACCTCTCGGTCGTCCCGATCCCGAGAAAGAGAGAGAGAGAGAGAGAGAGAGAGAGAGAGAGAGAGAGAGAGAG